GCCTGTTTCCAACTGCCTGTTTTATCCACTGTACTTCCCATTTCCCTACAGCTGGAACTATTTGAAATTAATTTTGTTGTTTTCTTATTTATGGAAAATATGCCCCCTCCCTGAAAATTTGGCCTTAAACAATTAGAGCACATAACTACTTACATGTAAACAGGAACTACCCCACATAATGATAAATTATTTTGCCTTTCTTGGTGCCCTGAGTAAATCTGAATCAATGGCATCATGTTTACATCAAATTTCTGAATGACAGCATTCTGAATGACAGCCACATTTCTAAATAACAGCAGTCTCCAGTGAAAGGTCTGATGAGCCTGAAGATACCTGAATTTTTTGTATCTATCTGAATGTAAATAAACCAATCCAGTTTCTGGTGTTAAAATCTGAAGAAATGTGCAGACTCACCTTCAAACTGCCATTCCATTTGCCAGTCACCGGGTCCCCCCCTGTCCTATCTAAGTCACTGCCATCAGCACAGCTGTCCCTTTATGCCTGGCCAATGGACCCTCATTAGCAACCATCCCACTGTGGCAGGAATTATGGCTTCAGCAGCTCCAGGAACCTGGAAAGATTTCGGTATTTGCCTCACTACTTTGAGAGGGACAGACCAAGAGCTACATGCAGTCACAAACTTCAGGCAGGCTGCTACAGCAAAGGGTGCTCCTGTTTCCTCTGACACATCAAGAGTGTGCCTATTTGAGAGATGCGGTCAGACTTGAACCTGAGGGTAAAGGTTTCAGTGAACTGTGCTGAGATCACACAGTCAGATCTTGTCTAGTTTCATAGCAATTTCACTTCTTCAAAACAGTCAACCTGAGCAAGCACCTTTTAAATTATTCAGCTAGATACCAGCTGTTTTCATTTAGCTTTCAGAAACAGAATCACGGTTTGTACCCATATTGATGCTATTTTTGAGTCAGTGTGCAGAGATACCCTCATCTGAGAGCCTTAGTCTAAACTCAGGATGATAAAGTAGCATGGGTGCATCTTGGATACATCTTAAATCAGATTCTTTTCACTCTACTAGAAATGCAATATACCTTTTGCAAAGGAAGGATAAAAATTCTTAAACATGAAAAAAATAGGGTCTGGGAAGGAGACATAATGTTCTGGTCCACTATAATATTGTCCTTTGGTTCAAATAAAGGGATTTAGAAGAAAAGATGTAACACAAGCCATTTGGATACTCATTATGTTCTTTTGCCAAGTAGCAGTGTTAAGTTTTGCTTGCAAGAAACATGGAGGAGCTAACAGAGGGGGAAAAAGTATCCTAGGAGTTAGTGTACTGGTAGAAAAAAAAAGGCATAGGACTCAGACTAGTATAATCTGGTCAAAGACACTGTATTAGCCATGTTTTGAGTCATACCTATCAAGGGGATTTAATTCTGTTGGTGTTCTATAGATTCAGTGAATGATATTCCTTGCTTTGCAATGTTTATGTACAGTGCACAAAACAGAGCAGCTACTGACCAGGAAATTACTAAGTCATCTTTTGTGCCATGGTTCACCCATCTTAGAGAAAATTAGATGTATTTTCCTCATGTTGGTGACAAAAATCGTACCTGATGTTTAGATCTCCTTTGATGGCCCTGGAGAGGAGAGGTTGAAATGGCGGGAGGTGGATAATAATTTTTGAACTCTAGCATATTAAGATGATCACAACATGTGTAGACCCAGGAGGTGACATTGTAATACATTATTAATGTCTTCAAAGCTTTACAAAGACCTTTATGGAGTTATTCTACATGAAAAAAATTAACCCTCATAGGTACATTCAATAACTGGATACAACATGCAGAATAAAAGAGCCCTTGGGAGTAGGGTTGAGCTCAAATCTGCTTCTTTTTCCACTTTTTTGTGGAGGCAGATGTGGCAGAGAAGGGGCTGGCCAGCCTCTGCACTCCCATGGCTGATCCTGTGTCATATATGATGTGTGTATGTCACAACAGCTAGCAGAGAGACTGGGGAGGCCTCTGGCTCCATCCTGTCCTTTCCACTCAGACAGGCCATTTCTGCTGGCAGTATAACACAGGAGCACAAAGCTTGCAAATGTGTTCAGCACTGCTGTCTCTCAGGGAACCCTACATTGCTGTTGGAAAAGAAAGAAAATACAATACTGTCTATGTGTGCAATCACATCACACACTGCTTCACAAGGATGGGAAGGAAATGAAATTATACACAGGGGAAGCAGATCTGATTACTGAAAATTATATATACACTCTTGAGGTGAACAATCTTCATCTAATTTCAGGTAAATTAATGATTAACAAAGAAGCATGATCTATTAAAATAAATTTTAGTGACAGACATATGCAGCCTATTATGCTGATTTTTTTCATTTAAATCTTCAATTTTTTTCTATATCTCTCTGTGCGCTATGCGATAAACTGATGGAGAAACAGCAGATTTAGAAAAATCAGTGTCCTAGCAAAGATGAAGAGATAAAATTGTCACAGTACAAGAATAAACCAAATTATCTACACTGAAGTTAAAATGGAAATAGTAACTTCATTTTTTCACTCAGCATACAAATGAATTACCACAAGAAGTTGCAGAGGCCACAGGCAGGAAGGGAATGCTATGGAGGACAGAATAAGTAATTAATGGTGTGGGATTCACTGGTGACAATGACCATGTGTGGCTATAGAAATCTCTAAAATGCTGACCACTGGGGTGACAGCACAGCAGGTAAGGAACAATTTTTCTTTGCCCTGTGTGCTGAAGCGTGGTTACACCTGCCAGGAGCAAGGCTGGGGCCTCTCAGAGCAGCTTTGGCAGAGGTTCTGGCAATGGTGGCAGGGCAGTGGGAGGGAATGACAGCTACAGCAATCTTGAGTCAGAGATTCCACAATACTGTGGAAATACATCTCTTTATAGGCATCCACCACTGGGGCCCATATCCAAGAGATGATCCAGTGTTAGGCAATCCTACAGTCAGACACCATTTGTGATTCCTAAATTATGCTTTTCTTTTACATTGATCTTCATTATAAAATCCTTTCAGTAAATATGCTTTCTTTCACCTTTGCTAAAGGGCTACTACTTTTCTTTCCAAAGCAGTTACACTGGAAACATGGTCTATTAGGGAAAAAAAAAAAGGGGGTGGGGTGGGGAGGGGGAGTATCTTTGGTGATATATCCTTGTGAGGCTTTGTTCTGGGTACTTCCTATAGTGAGAGACTTGTCTTATTGCAAGCAGCAAGCAACAGAGAAATATTTGCCATTTATGGTATAGATGCACATATGTAATTGTTGTGTAGCCTGACTTCCTGAAGCTATCTGGAAACAACAACTTGTGTCACCAAAGAGTCCCCAGAGAAACAATCCGTTTGCCAGCACTGGACTTTATTATAATGGAGAACACAAACCACATAGGCAGGAAACCATAAAACCCCCCAAGTTAACTGTAGCAAACGGCCAAGGGGCCTGAAGCGGCAGCGGGAGCCGGAGCCAGGCAAAGGGAGGGATGCAGTCCCAGGCCTGTTGCTTGCCAGTGGCTGCAGCTGGATGTTGTCGCCTGTCCCATCACCACCCTGGCCGTTTTCTCCGCTGATTTTAACCAGCGCCCAGACCCAAGAGGAAGTTAATCACTGACCAGACCGCCTGGACACAGCAAGGTGCCCCGGCCGGGCGGGGCTGGGCACACCCCTCTGGTGGGCTGCCCATCCGCCCCCACAGCACCGCCCCGCCCGGACCGGGTGGGGATGGATGCTCCGGGGGACACCGAGGCCACAAGCACAGACATCGGATTTGCAAATGACCCTGGACAGGAAAGGCGTTGTATGCAAAGGGGGTTAACCGGGAAAGGTCCCAGGCAATGAGTGGCGTGGAGCTGCCGATGGGGTTTTTTGCAAGGCAAATACAAACCAGGAATTCACGGGGATAAGGCAGAGCAAACATTAACCTCCTGCGCCGGTAGCTTTGCGAAACAGCCGCTACCACGGCTCTTTTCTCTTGCTGCTCCTTTCTCATGGAAAAAGAGTTCGTGGCTCAAAGCCAGCTGTAAATTAACAGCTAAGTGAAACCATTATGTCAGTGGGATGCTTTAATCGGTTTACAAAACACTGCTCGAGGTACTATGCATATTCGTAGGCAGGAAGGGAATGCAGGGTACCCGGGACCCAGTCGAAACCCAGCGAGGTCACCGGCCTCGGGCCAGCGGGGAGGAGGGGACAAGGACATCCCCGTGAGCCCCAAGCATCCCTACAGCCGACGGCCGGGTTTTTGTTTACGCTTTGCCTTAGCAAGTCTTCATTAAAGCGCCCCGTTGAAACGATTTTGGATGGGGGGTGGGGGGCCGGGCCCCACTGCCGGTGGCTCGTTCGCACCGGCCGTTCTCCCCCGAACAGCCGGGTCAGAAAACATCAGGGGAGGGGGACTCTCCTTAAAGGGAAAACAATCTCAACCCGCGGTCCGCCAGGGCGAGGGGAGATCGGGACCCCCTTGCCCCGCAGCCCTCACCGGCGCTCCCCGCCGCTCCCCGGCCGTGCCCCGGCCCCGCTCCGGGGTGGGCGGACCGGCAACGCGGCCGCCCCTTCCTCCCGCCCCGGCCCCTCCCGGCGGGGCGGCCGCCGCCGTCCGGAGGGACAAAACACACCTGCCCCGAGGGGGCTGGGGGTGTAGCAATGATGACAAGAGCAGCCCAGTGTTAGGGTTCAGTTCCAGCTGATTTTATTTCCTTCCCGAAGAAAAAAAAAAAAAAAAAGGAAAA